GAATTGGATTAGATGTAAAACATGACTTGCCGATCAAGCAGGCCTTCTAAACGAATTTATCGTAGAGTAAAAAACAGACAATAGCCTTTTCCTATTCGGTAATCTGTCGTACTCTCTGAAATATAGTGGTACAATTTTTTTTTATATTTTTTAAAATAAAGTGCCCCATAGACTCCCAGTTAAACGATCATCAAAACACTTGCAAAGTATACTCTTTTTTGGTTGTGATCTACGCGAAAAGTTTACCTGCGAATTTAATATCTTAGATTTAGATTATAGATTTAGGAATAAGAATAATGAATCCTAAATCTAAGAGTATGAAACTGATAGAAAAGAAAGTAACAAAGAAATAATTACTTGGAGAATGGATAACGAATCAGATAGTGTATATAGTATAAGATCAAAAAAATCACGCCATCACTATTATGATGAAATAGGTAAACATATGGTAAAGTATGATAAATTACAAAATCATAATGATTCGAATAATTCTCCATTTTTGATAAATTGTAAGGGATGTGAATACAACATCAGTAGGAAAAAAGAAAAAAATTTGGGATGTTTTATTTATATAGAAAAAGATATGGCATCAACGCTTAAAGGAAGATGGGAAAAAGATAGTGATGGTGTAAAATACGTAAAGCCATATTACACTCTAGATAATATCGATAGACAAAATGATGAGGCGTATAAAAAGCGAATAATTTAGTTACAATTGGAGATATAGAAAAGATGGTAATAGATAAAGAAAGTAGCATTTTACGTATGGGTGCAAAGTTATGGTTAAATAGTATTATAGAGGACGAAGGAATTTATGATTTATTAAATAATTTTATCGAGAACGATTTTATAAATTTTATAGATAAAGAAATTATATTGCAAGTTGGTGGTATTATTCAAAAAGGCTCAGATTTATGTTTAGATGGTTTTTTTGGAATAGAGCTCTTTCCAAAAAATAGTAACATAGAAAAATTTAGCATTGAAGGGAAAATTGTTAAAATAAAAAATGAAAGGAAACTATATGCGTTAGGAATAATAATAGCGCTTACAATAATTCCAGAAAATACAAAGGTAGATTTAAAAACAGATGAAAAGATTTTAAAATGGTCGATAGATTATAGTAGGATAGGAAGTACACGACGTGAATTAGATGATCCATGTTATATATTTCTAAATTGCATAAATACAATGTTAGATTTAAAAGGTATAAAATTTTTAATTAACGATAAGAATGGGGAAATTACAGAAATGATGAAAGAAGTGAAATTGCCAGCTTTAAAAAAAGAGTTAATTAGAAATAAACATTCGATTGAAGAGGTAGTCATTAAATACCATAATATAATCATTGACAAATACACGTTAAGGTGGAACTACAATCCGATTGAAGGGGCTTTTAGGAACTCTTTTAAAGAAATAAGCAATAATATCAACCATATAGATATTATTCTATTAGATTAAGTAAAAGATTGTTTTATCGAATGTAATGGAGCAAATGTGACAATTGATTGGAAAGAATCGTTTAGACTTATTAATAATGAAATATCAACAGGAAGAAATGTCACAAATCGAATAGACGCGTCAATCAGGTCATTTAGAGTTAAAAATTTTTTAAAGATCTTACCTACATATAAAATTTTATACAGGAGGAAAACTTGGGGAATTAAAAATGACAAGTGTCCACGTTGTATTTTGGAAATAGAATATTGGGATCATATATGGTCTTGCGAGAAAAATGGTCCCAATAATAAGGAAAACGTCTTGTTTAGAGAAAGTGTAGAGGAATTTTCACGTGTGAAATGTTAGACGAAGACGGAGATGAAATCAATAGATTTAAATTGGATTTATTTAATATCACTTCAAGTAAATCAAATATAATGGTTTTAGACAATGTATTTAGAGAAGTCACTCGAGGTATTATTAATGAAAAATGGTTGAAGATTTGCACTAAAGCATTGTTCAAAGCAATATTACGAGATATTTTTGATCTTTATATGGTAAAATTACAGAAATGTATATGGGAAGAACGATGTAATGAAACGATAGAAATAGAAAAACAAATGGGTCTTTTTAAAGAACTTAAAAGAAAAAAGCGGATAGACACAAATGATAGTGCAGATGATGATGACGACATTTCGAATAATAAAAATTATAATAATAAAAATGATAAGAAAAAAATTAAAAAAATTAAAAATATAATAAAAATAGATTTAGAAAATAGTGTAAAAGAAGACGTATTTTGTTTAGGTAGCTCTAACAGACATAGGATAGGTAATAATATTATTAGTAATTTAGTCAATACATAGTAGTTTTTAGATATAATAGATACTTTTAATTTCTTTGGTTATGTTTATCCTCGCCTTGGTTGGATACCCCTTGGCTTTGGTATGAAGAGATTCAATTTTGTACGAGATTGAATTTCAATGTATTAATGTTATAATTATTATGTATTATGATGCGTTATTTTTACTAATAAAATAATTAAATGCGTTTACCAAAAAAAAAAAAAAAAAAAAAAAA